TGAAGTAGCTTCAGGGCAGGAGACAGATTGCTATATCCTAAGCTTTTACTTAAAATTTTACATATATCTAATATTCATGAGTTGGATTATTTTATGTAGCCATAAATAGCTATGCTACTTGAACTATTTACTGAGCATCTCTAGATGCTGTTATATACCCAAACATCCTAAGTATGTACTAGCAATATGGCTACCATCATCTCACACTAGAAAAAACATCAGGCATTGTTCCAGTGTTTTTGAAAAGAAAATAATGTCTTTTTTCACTTTTTTCCCCCCTCTCCTGTCCTAGTAAGCCCTTCATTTGGAAGCTCTCAAGCAACTGAGAAACTGAAAATCATACATAGTTCTGTGATTTATAAAGTTTCATTGTTTTCTGCTGAGTTCAAATAAATGTTTATTTTACAACCATCTCTACAAAGCTGCAGGTCATGAATAATAGGAGTCATCTTGTGACATTGAGGTGTAGATTGGCATTGTGTTATGTACATAGATTCTGTACTAACACTATCTAGCCAAAATATCTTTTAAGCTCAGTGTTGAAAAGGTTCAGAATTGGGCAAAAATCCTCTTCTATATTTTACCTCTAGGAGGATAATTAGAATTCATGCTCAACAGCCCATCAAGCATATTTTAGGCTCTCCTCAGACCCAACCAGCAGGCATTTACTGAAAGGGTGCTAAAATAATTGTGTATTTGGCATAAGGAATGAAAACACTGCCCAATTGTGTAAGTGCCTCTTTCTGAAGGATTCAGCACGCCTTAGAAAAGAGTAATTGCAGATGGAATTTGCACTGACACTGGATTAGATATCAGCCATGGCCCATCCCATGTACTCAATACTCACCTCACACCAGCACAGCAAATCAAATGAAAAGTGCAGTGGGTATATTGTTGCAAGTCAATTAGATAAACCATGCAGACAATGCGATATGTGAAGATGAAGAGAATTTTCTCATTACTGTCTCAGATCCATCCATCACAGAAACAAAATCCCATTTTAGCTACACCTGGAAGCTCACTAATGTAACACAAATTCAGTCAATATAAATAAGTAAGAGGGTGGCAGCAAGCCTATTAAGTAAAGTTTAATAACTGTACGCTACACCCAGTCTTAATCATTTATCTGTGAAGATAGACTGGTGAAAAATAACATGGCTAACTGATACACATATACTTTATTCTCCCTCAGAGCAGACCTCAGGCTGTTTTGAGAAGTAACAGATGGAATTTTGCCTTCACTCGGATAAAGTTTCAGCAATGCAAAAAATCGATTTAGAAGCACTTTAATATGCTGCTCCAGCAACCATGCCTACACAATCTATATAACCAGCCTCCTATCTGGCTGCATTCTCCAGAACATGCAAAGACACAAGCTCTTCAAATTATCACTGTGAGATTAGCCTGATTTGCTAATATTCACAGATATCTATTTCCCATAGTTTTTCAAAGACAGAAGTATATGCAATATAAACAAAATATAATAGACACGAAACAAGGAATCTTCCCATATGCAGGGGAAAAGTGTAACGAAAACTGGTTTTAGGAGGCCAGGCTCATTCTTCTATCCGCAGGCACCAGGCTGAGCAAGCCACAAGAGGGAGCGCAAACACTGTTGGAAAAAGCAAGGAAACGCGGGGGAGAAGGGCCAGGGCCAGGCAGCATTTGATGCCAAGTCTGTTGATAATAACCTGCATTCTAATTTGTACTAAAAAGCAATTTAAATTCCTCTTCAGCTTTAATGCGTTACAAGTAACTCTTCAATGCTAATCTGGTAAGGAGAGAGAGAGAGAAGAAAAACATTCATAATGTTCAGCTTAAGCCGGACAAATGGAATGCAGAGCCAGGTCAGAGCAGCAGGCAAAGCAGCCTCGGGTGTCAGGCAACTGGAACTAAAATGCTGCAGTGCTTGCCTGCGGCAGAAAAAAAAAAAAGGAAGATCAGCTGTGGACTTCTCCCTCCTGCTTTTCATCCCACTCTTGTGGCCACCGAGGGAGGGACTGGGGCATGTGCAAGTACCAGTCCAACTCAGAAGGGGCACCTACTGCCAACCTTTAATAACAGCAGGAACAGGCATCCCAACCCTCTGGGACTGTTCCAGCCTCCTCTCCCCTCCTTGCCTTTTCCTTCATGAGAGCCAAAAAATAACACTCTTTAACTGTAGTGAAATAGACTGACAAAAGAAATACCTGACAACAGATATTTTCAAACTGAGATGTTTATATGTGGGTCAAATATGAGTTTGTGAAATCTTCACCATCATAGCCAGATTTTTTTTATCTCTTACCTCTGAATATCAGACAGTCAAATTCTGTTCTTGAGCTGAAGGTTGTTTATATAAGCCAAGGATAAATGTATTCTTAAAGGCTGTTCTCTCTGGATGGTTTAGCACAGTATAGTGCTTGCATATCCATTTCACTTAGCTGTTGCAGTATTCTAGCAGGAAACAGCAGCAGGAGACTGATGTTATGCAAGGGACAGAAGCAAAAAGGATATGCTTGTGAATACTGATCTCCTGACTGATGTAATCATTGTGATAAAAAATAATATCTTAGCAGTGTAAGACCCAATTCTTCTGCATGAAGACAAATACATTCAGCACAAGTCTAGTTTCTTCTGGAAGCTGAAAAAGGAGGAAGGTCACAAGGCTATGGAGCAGTCCTGTACCACACATCCTGCAGTTTCTTGCCTCCATGGGATCCAGGGCAGCAGCAGAAGCCCCAGCACTGATAGGTCAATGGGCACAGCTTCAGGATTCATGACTGCCTCGAAACACAGGATGAGAGGAGATCCCTTCCCCAGCATAAAGGAGATGCAGAAATGCCTCCCAACAGAGTCTTGACACCAGCAATTGGGAGGCAACAAGTTAACTGAGGCTCCTGTACTTGCTAGTTACAAATGGCATTCTAACTAAATCATCACATGTATTTTTCCAGTAATGCATGAAATCAATGAAACATCATTTAGATAAATTAATTGGGTCTGAGGCTATCATGGTACTCACAACATCTGCCACTTCCCTTTGCATAACTGGATCATTCAAGTTCTTAACAACTAGGGGTTTTTTAATCTTCCTAAATTATTTTATTAAATTATGCTCATCTCTTCTTATCCTTTTGCCCTTCAGACTGTCTCCTTCTCCTCTTTCTTAGTCTGCATTTCTGTTACTTTAGCAACAACTAATGGTCCAAATGTTGATGCTAACTATCCTCCATTCCCTGCAATGAGAAAGAAAGTTTCTGTGTCTGTGCATCTCGACCGTAATAAACTATACAGCTGTGACAACCTCAAAATAGACCAAAGATAGACTTGAAATTTTTTACAAATATAACACAACTGTGAATAACCTGGTGCTAGTCACAGATTCACTGTTACAATACTTAAATTCTGTAGCAGAATTCTGTGAATTTTGCATTAGCACTGCAGTAACCACAGGAGATAGTTAAGCTTAAAAGATGAGCAAATAGGACTGCAGCAGGCCAACTTCACACAGCCACACTTATAAGCTAGTGACAGGCTATAAGAACAAGTCACCTCAAACAGTTCACAAAATTTGTAATTTCAGGCCACTAATTCACACAGAGCAGCCAATTTACAACAACTTTTAGTGTTCAGTTTCATATATAGTTACGTAATTGTTAGTGTGGTAAATATTGCAGTGGTAAATATGTTGCACATCAATTATTAAAAAAACCATACTGTTAATGTCAGTTACTCAGATTTTACTGTCATAAATCTGAACAAACCTTATAACTGTTCTTTACAAAGGTCAGCTGAAATACTGTTGTTTTCTCAGGACCTAATACTACCCTTCAAGCTGTATTGAACAAGTGATAATACCAAACCATCTCCCACTTGGTAGGGAAAAAATATTTCACTGAGAACATGTTGATATAAATAAGGTACATTTAATCACTCACTGCAGGATCTATATACAGAAAACATTAAAATACCAAACATTTTGTTAAGAGGAAGGAATCATTACATGGAATGCTAATGTACATCTTTCTCCCTTTGTAAATACAAATGTGCATAGATGTAGTGATCACTAGCTGAAAACATAGTTCTTGACATTGCAATGAACATGTTTTGGTAAGGGCAGATCTTTGACATAGTAAGACAATTTTCTATGCAAAACAAAAATTACAAATATGAAAGAAACAAAGACAAGAATTTATCATCTGTTTTCTCTCAGATTATATGATTTAATCCAGAAACCCAAGTGGACTCCCGATGCACTTTTAAACATGACACAGAGCCAGTTTACCAGTGCCAAAGTTCTAGAGGGGTGCACACACAAGGAATTTGCTTCTTCAAATTCTTCTACAGGCACAGGCAGAAAGCCAGTCACTTGTTCTAAGTTGTGGCCACTCACCCCAGTTTACAGATGTCTTTCTTGCACTGGGGTCCCAAAACTGGATGCAGTATCTGGGTGTGTTCTAATGAGGGATGAGTCGAGGCCTTAATCACTTCAGTCTAGTGGCTCCAGTCCTGTTGGTACAGCCTGGGATGCTGGTACCCTTCTTTGCTACCAGGGCACACTGAAGACTCATGCTCTACTCATTGAGCAACAGGTCTCCACATCCTTTTTCCACAGGGCTTCATCCCAGACAGCCAGGAGCTTTTTTTCAGGCAGCCAGGGCTGGACCTGCTGTGCTGCAACATCATTCTTCCTTCCCAAGTGAAGGACTTTGCACTTGTCCTTGCTGAACTTTGTAACTTTTCTGTCAGAGCATTTCTCCAGCCTGATCAAGTTCTGAATTGCGATTGTACAGTATGCTTTAAGAAAATTCAGAGTAAAGACAATCAACAATTGATGATTGTCAACAATTTTGGCAGAGGTTTTAGTACTGTGACCAAAAATGAACTGCTCAGTATTTCAGAGCTTAAGAATGTGGCTTCCTTTGGCAGCCAACAGACACTGCCACTGAAACCAGTCTCCAGCCTAAATAGTCTACTGGCTGAAATCCACCTCATTCTCATGTCTTTTCAGCTCATCCCTATAGTGGCTTTACTTGGATGACATTTACATTTGTCTCACTGTGTTTACTGCTGTCATCTATTTGCTGAGTGTCATCACTGGCGATAATAAAAATTATGGAGGAAGAGCTGAAAGTCACTTTCTTCTTTGGCCTGTCCCCTGCTTTCTGAGACATAACTATTGGTCGTATTGGTTTGTCATTCCCTGTCACTCGTGTTTCTTTCATGGTCCTCTGGAATCTCATCAGGCGAAAGCACAGGAGTTGCAAAAGGCATCGTCGAAACTGCAAGAGATAATAAATAGAATGAAGTTACAACTTCCTAATCATTCACCATTGTGTGTGATCCAATGAAGGGCACAGTACAGTAAATGACTCAAACTAACAGATTTCTGTGTATCTTCACCTTGTTCCAAGTTAGTTTCAGTGCTGTAACAAACATGGTGGCTTTGTAGTAGGTACTTTTTTCGTTCCACCAGACCTGAACAGGATCACTGAGCCAGCAGAGGGCAGTGAAATGCAATTTAATATTTTACCAGCCGCAAGGTCTGCAATCGACAATCTGCAAAGGACAACAGGACTAGGCTCCAAAGTGTTACATAGTTATTGTTCCCATATTCAAAAAAATCACACGTTTGATCTAGAAGAGGAAGAATATTCTCAGAAACACTCCACAGGAGGATGCAGAGAGAAGGAACAAGGAGAGGAAGGGGATACAAAGTGATGTTTTCTCCCTTTTAAGTAACTTCAGGGTATAGAATATTAACAAAAGCATTGAATGTCACAGATGTAAAATGAAAATTTAATGGTTGGTAACACAGAAGTAAAATGTTCCCACTGAATATGAAAGGAACTTTTCATATGAATATGAAAGCATCTTTCAGCTAACTAGATATGATACAGGAAGCCTGTTCTACCTTGTGGCTAAAGAATGCAAGGTGTACAGTGAAAGCTCAGGCCAGTATATAGAATGAAAATTGCAGTAGTAGCACTGTTTAGTAGCACTAACTTAGTACTTTAGTAGCACTAATAGTAGTACTAGTAGCACTAATAGCACTTTAGGAGCAGTAATTGCACTAGTAGCACTGTTTTAATTCTCCAATTATGGTCTCTCCTCCAACAAAACAAAGATCCAGGTGTGAGGTTCTAAGGATGCACTCATTCAGTAATTCCATGTCTGCACATATTTAAAGCTCAGATATGATGCTTTGGAGAAATTCTCTGGTTTTACAAGAAATAAATTGGCAACTTCCTCTTCTTTTAATAACTCATAACAAGACTTGCCTGGTATGTATGAAGAGAACTTCAACCAATCAACTAAAACACCCTGAAAGGAAAACAAAATCCCACAAGAACAAACAGTGGGGAGCATGGTGAAACAACCCACCTTTTCTCTGAAAAGGGAATAGAAAATCTTTTTTTAACAGCCTTCCATTTAGCTGTATTAAGGGTTATTACTTGCTATCCTGCATGGCCAGTGACTCTGTTTTCCCAACTATTAGGTAGGAACCTCTCCATCATGCTAGTTTGGAACAAGGTTTTGTTATAGAAAATTAATCCTACTCTGACCCAGGAGAGGCAATAGGTCCTGTTGGACCTAATAGGACAAACTACAAGATGACAGGAGAAAGATAATCTGATGCACAAGAATAGTCATGTGGAGGCCTTGAAGACTTCAGAGATAATGTGGTACCTCTAAGTAGCACAGAATTTAGACAGCACAAGCATGTTAGAACAGGTCAGATAAAGGAAGCATATTATAGAGAACTGGTTTTAGGATTTCTTCTGAGGGCAAAATAACCCCCAAAATAAGCAAAAATATTATTTGGGTCCTAATCTGGAATTAGAGATGAGTGAGAAACACTTCACAATGCATCTCCAATAAGTATGTTCAGATGACTGATTCTTACCCTGGCTATGTCTGTACTGGCATTGTGTCTGGTACCAGATTCATTTGCTTCTGGGTCTCAGAACCTACCAAATGTTTTTCAGATAAACTACTCAGCCTGACATCTAGGTACGGGTCAGTGCCAGTCTATTAAAAAAAAACACTGTAGAAAAACAGTCTTTTTGAACATGACTGTTGTTAGCTCCCCATATCCAGGTCAGCCTGCTGTGAAATGAGCTGTCGGGGAAGAACTGCAAGATACCACGTTGGGGGCCTCATGCCCTTACTCACGAAAGCATTTAAGCTCACCCTTGCCCTCAGTCCTGCCCTGAGCTGCACTGCAGCCTTTGCTTGGCTGCCCACCTGGCTGATTGGACCCACTGACTTGGCTGCCTTGCCCCTGCAGACTGCTGTCTGACCCAGGCTGCTGTTTTCTAGTTTCCATGTATTTGACATGCCATTGATAACCAAATACTTCCATTCTCTCTTTACTCTGTAAAGCACTGAAATGAGCTAGTTACCACCATTAAATCAGCAGTCTACTACAGAAGCAGACAAAAATTAAAAACTTGTTTCACATTGGTAGGTATGTCTTCTTAATGGCACATAATTTGTCTCCAAAACATATTTCACTGTCCCTTACATGAGATTCTGGCTTTGAATATCATGAAGCTCTGAGAAATGTTACTGTTCCTAAAAAAACAGACACCCCATATTCTGAATTTTCTCTGAAGGAGTTCTGTTATGGTAAGGGAGTGATTCAGATGACATCTTCTAGTTACAATCCATTTCATGGGTAAACTGTCAAAACTAGACACTTAAATTCTGACACTCTCCCATCCCTTTCATGTGAGTAAAATGTCTGAATTCACATATGAGCAAACTCACTTTCTAATCAGGTGGCACTTTAAGCACCATCAGGGATTTTAATTATACTAGATTGTCGCCATTTATCCTAGCTGTTCAAAGTTTTTTTTAAATTTAAGCTTTTCAAATTAAAGTATATCAAATCTAAACACCACAACTATGATAGTGGCTACTAATCATTCATGTAAGGAAATCTTTAATGTACCTACCTTTCTACTCATGAAGATATAGATGACTGGATTATAAGCAGTGCTTGACTTGGCAAAGAAAGATGGGATGATAGCTACTGTTGGAGTTACAAGGTTGCTGTAGCCATAGGTTATCAGGAGGGAAACCACTGCATACGGCATCCAACAAATAAGGAACGTGGAGATCATCAAGAAACACATTTTAGCCACCTTCTTTTCATATTTCAGAAGTTTGATCACTTGAACAGTCTGGAAATCTTCTACACAGCGAAGCTGTAAAAGAAAGATAAAATAGTAAAGTATGTTTTACTTGAAACAGAACAGCTCTACATTTATTTAAAAGTAACTAATTCATTAATTTAGTGTTAGGCACAGGCACTATACATCTTATCTTTTGAACCACAGTTCTTCTGGAAGTTTATATCACATGTCCCAGACTTTTATTTGTCTATATTAAGTGTAAGAATACAATCTGAGGAAAAATGGAATAGCAAATCTACTAGAAAACAACAAATCCAGTGATGCAACAAAACATGCTGCAGTTATCATAATGCCACCTATCTGCTGGCATAATCAATTTCAGTTTACATTTAGTGGTCCTTTGTCTGACTAGTTAGACAATCCTGTTGATATGTGTCGTCAGAAGTCTTTAGAAAGAAGAAAATTTCATAAACAAATTTCTCTGTACTGCTTTGCCACTTTGTTACTGTAAAATGATGAAATCTCTAAAGTAGAATACTAGACAGCAGGTTCCCAGTGTTATATGAGTGAGTCATAAAATGAGGAAAAGACAGGACATATACATGGACATCCTCCATAAGTTATCGGTTGTGCCAATACTGTTAACCGTCAACTTGAATGCATCCAGATTAAATACCCACAGAATACAAACCATTAACACTTTTTGATCCTAAGGATCTGGACTAAATTAGACTGGGTTGCCTTAACATGGAGAACTGTTTTAACGGGGCTTCATCTCCACTTGGAAGAGTTTCACAGGGTTATCTTCTCAAGAATGATTAGGAGAGAAAGTTCTTGAATGAGAAGAACTGCAAAGAGAGTTTTCTTTTTCCCTTTTTCCAAGTGAGGATCTGATGTGGATTAGTGACCATAATCCATTCCCTAACCTTCCTCCCAGTGAAACTACACAACAAATAGACCTTGGTAGCTCTGGGCTGATTGTCCTCCAATCCTACATCCTTTCTAGTGGTGCCTGACAGAGATGAACATTAAACATTCAAAAGTTTGAATAGGAAGTGAGAGTGCAAATTTGGCTCAGATCCAAACTTCACATACAGCTTCAAAATTTTTCACTGAAAATATTATGAGAAATCTTATTTGAACTAACTTACCATTCTTACTGCATATAGAATATGGCCATAGCAATAAGCCATGATCCCAACAGGTGCTACTAGACAGCCAAGGAAAAAAAGGAGCACAAAGGAGGTATCATTGGGATCTTTTGACTTCCAGTCCACTGAGCAACCTAATCCATGAATTTCCAGTGTATATCTGTTCCAGCCCAAGAGAGGTGCTCCAGTCCAGGCTAATGAGTACAGCCAGATGTATGTGATAGCTCGCCAAGACCAAGAGAAGTCAATCACTTTTGCATGGACTACTCGAATGTAGCGTTCATAGGCAAGAACAGTGAGAGTCATAATAGAAACAATTCCTGTAAGAAGAATAAAGAAAATCAATTAAAAGAATTCGCAAATATTACCAATTGGACTGAAGTCATCTTGCTCAATGTTTCCTTTGCTAGCAGGTTAATGCGAAAGTAGGTAGATCATATGATGAATCTGACACAAATAGGCTTTTTTGGGTGATACCACTACTCACTTGAATGAAGAGGAAAAGTAGTCCTTCATGCCCTTTTCTGGGGCCTAACATACTGAAAATACATTGAAGAATGTGGATCTCAGCAAGATATTAGCAGGTATTAGGAATGTCTGCTACTATCTACAGAATTTTATAGGTACTATTCTATACAGTCAAATGCAATCTACTTCCGGAACACACAGTAAGGCCCATTTCTCTTGCCCCCAAAGATTATAAAATTTTTCCTGACAGTTATGAAAATCATCCACCGACATGTTTATAGGGAAAAATTTGTATCAGCCAACTGTAGGCTCATTGTGCACTGAGGCTCTGTCTGTGATCAGTAGAGAGCAAGAGCAGCTCCTCAGGATGGTGAGTCAGAATTCCTAAATTAACCTCTTGCTCTTTACCACCTTCATTCTCCCTACAATGGTATTCTATGAGTAATATCCCTGCGTACCCTTAATATTTCCCCATCCATTTTTATGAGTACCGAATTCTAGCCATGACAAAGTAATCAAAAGCACACACACTTGGCTGAAAGTACAGGTGTTCAGGAGCAGTAATTTACTGAGTCCTTGACATTCTCCAGGAAGGCACTGGATGCTCAATATCTCTAAAAATTGGTACTTGCACATAGATCTTTGAACAGTTTTATATCAAGCCCCTTTCAGTCTGAAACCAGAGCCCTTCAAATGCATTCTTGAGTTTTCTTCCCTGAACTATAAATGGGACCTTGGAAAGTCTGTTGGACAGTATGTACCAAAATGCAAATCCCTGTTCTGTTGGTATTCAAGAAGTGTGTGGTAGCATGCAGACATGAGGCAAGAAATGCAGGTCACAGTATAGGACAGTAAATTCCTCTTCAGTGCAAGTTCTCTGCTGTAACAAGGTCATAGCAGTACAGGTAGAGGTTGAAGTAGGTAACCATAAAAATAGAAATTGGAAACAAAATAACTCTACAGGATAAAAAAATGCAGGGAACTTCAATCAAAAAAAAAAGCCCCTTGTGTGCTATAGAGCCATGGCTACCTCTTTCACTGTGGCAGATGTCATGCAGAAATACCTGTAAGAACAGGAATACTGAGATCTGGCCTAAGGAGATGAGTTTTAAAACATGGTATATAAGAAAAAATCCATAAAGTGTGTTTTCAGAGCCATCTCTGTCATATCTCACTACTTAAACGCATAAGCCTGTCTCATTCTCTATTTTCCTCCATCCTTGGTGGTTTGGTTTTTTTCAATACTGCTGCCTATGAACACATTCTTTCATATCACAGATTTTGGTGTGAAAGAATGGGAATACATGGCAGAAGCAAGTACAACTAATGGTTTTCATCTTTGCATGCTCAGAAATCAAATTGAAAGGTAAATCTACGACCATAAAGGATTTCAGGTCACAGCTACCATAAAAGAAGGGAGAATATAGCCCACTCATCCAAAGATAATGAAACTTAAGCATCCAATACTCATGTTAATCGAGCTATCTGTTACTACTCCTATATGAAACCTACTGATGCCAATCCTTTAAAAAAATTGGCCTATTACTACCCTTGTGAAGCAACCATGAATCTTCTGTCTCAATCCATTACAACCTAGAGACCATCTTCCATTCTCTTTCCTCTCCCCCATGCTCCCTCCAATACATTCATTTCGAGTTCATTTTGGGCAGCTGGCAAACAGCAGGTAACAATGCCCACTGTAACCACAGGAGGTGACAGTGTTACTTAAGCCAAATTTGGCAGAGATTTCCCAAGAGCACACAGGTGCAAGGCTTCTAGTGCTGCCCCCACAGAAACGCAGTACTTTGTATAATATCACACGCTTGGGTGGCAGCTCTCACCTGCAAGAACCTTGCCTTTTTTAGCCCACTGCATACTAACATAATGCATGTTCTCGTGCTGTTTCGAACTACCTCATATATGATTTATGCATGTGTATGATTCCATTTTCCATGTATGATTCAGTTTCTGTGGTCTAGTGTAGAAGAAAGCACTGAATTTTACTTCCCCCTCCCCCCCTTCTCCCTTCCACTCACCCACAGATTTCCTGGAAATAATTTAGAATTCATTCTGAGTGAGTTGCATATTTTAATATGATGAATTATGTGCTGATGGAAAAAAACCCAAAAATCTGTTACAGAAAGCCATTATGGTTATTGTTTGGATATTAGCTGCCTCTTAGCAAAATATGCATTTCAAATGAATTTTTAGCTTTAATCTGAAACAAATTTTGTCATGCTTAAAGCTACTTGAAGTACTGGAGATCTATGTATTTTGTTTCAAGACTAAGGCCAAAGATTCTGTGGGCTGATTTACTCTACTAGCAAATCAGTCTTCCTACCTCTTTCTGAAAGACTTGACTGCTCAGTGTTTACAGATAATGCATGCCTGATGTACTGACTTTCATCTCAGAGAATACTTCCATCTGCAAGTGCTGATTATAAACACAAACACTCTTTGTGTTTAGGAACTGATGCTAGTTTTAGCTCTGATTTGAGCCCGGGCAATTACCCTAGCATGAATGGGTTCATTCCCATTTAAGCTGTAGTCAAATGTAGCAAAACCAAAGGATCTTCTTGCTTAAACAACTAGCATGCAATTTCTATGCTGCAACTCCTACTCTTCCCCAGTAGTCAGCCACCAGAATCAGGGAAGAGTGATAAGCTACTTCTTGCTGGTAGGACTTTTTTAAAAGAAAATTCTAATTTTTTTCCATTTTTTTATTATTTTCCTACTGAAATGCTGCATTTAGTGTAGGTTTGATTATGCATCATAGGTGATAATTATTTCTTCAATATTCTGGTCTTTTCCAGGAGTCGTGTTAATCTGGATATATCATTAAACACTTCTAGCTGCACAGCGTTGGTCATCATGGAGGTGAGTGCAAAACACATCTGAGCAGCACTGCACTGTCCCATACAATGTGTATATTCTGACTTGATAATCCTTAATTAAGAACAAAATTATTGCAGTGCCTTCAGAACTGAAATATCAGTTTCAACAAGTTCTAACAACCACAATAGCTTCTGCCCTCTCCATGCAATATACAACTTATTTTCATGGTTTGCCATGTTGCCCTCTCCTATCCCCCAAACATGCTTTATAATTGGACAGAGATGGTATCAGATACATATTCCTGAAGACTGAGCATGTCTACAGAGCAACAGCAGCATAATGCAGCAAATAAGATTCAGTTCTGAGACAGACCATGACTTCTGTCAAAGGACGTATTATTTTCTGTATCAATTATTCCTTTACCTACATCCAAGTGCTGAATTACTGGTTTGCATCTCTAATCAGAGGAGAAAGCCTCTCTTCTGCAATCCCTCCTCACCTCCTTCACATCCAGAAAGCTGAACGGGAACAACTAAGTAGAAGCAACTTCCTGTCCACAGCAAGACAAGGTGTTACTGTACTCTGTAGTTTTGTATTACAAAATATATAACCAATCCATTTGAATACAGCAATTAGGTGCCACAATATGTTTTAGGCACCAGCTATGTATCACTTCTAATTTTTCAGTCAATTTTAGCAACTGCATTCAAATCTAGGTAGATGAAAAATCACTTCTCCTAGACAGAATAGCCTTCAGGTCTCTTTTATATGCACCTCTCCTATAAAACTACAGTGAAACAAATCACCTCTTCCAGATTCAATCCTGCAAGCGATTAATTCACTTTAAAAAAAATTGCTAAAGCTGAAAGCATGCTGATTGAGTCTTCAGCTATCTGTAACACAAGATCCTAAAACTATCTGCTGGGAAACCATAGAAAATGCTTTTAGTGAGATTAAATCGGTGCATATAACATACAGTGGTAATGTAAGAGGGTGGCACAGGACATCATTCTGTCACTGAGCAGAAAAGAGCCTTAGATGAAGTAGCTAACAATCATATACAGACACATGTTTTTGCATTGTTTCAAAATAGGCTGTAACTGAAACCAGGTCCACAGGACACTCTATGGCAATTAATCCTTACTTCAGTATTTTGAGAGGCCAGGGAGGATGTCAGCTTTTCACAGGAAAGAACAGTCTGCAAAACTGCTTATGATTTTTTCCCATCCTCCAGTTCACATTACTGGAGTGAAGTATACACCTGGATATCAAAATTTACTGTATTGGTGTATACCAATGGTGACTTGTCCAGAAGGGACATAATGCTTCCAATTAGTTACACATCAAAAGCTGGCAGTGGTTTTTTACCCTTACAAGAAGAGCTTACTGTCAAGGAAAGACAGAGGTCTCTAATCACACTTCAGTAACACTAGCCTTCCAATCACAAAGTTTAATAATATAAAGCCTACGCCAGAGTACACCCTTACTGTGCAATCTTCTGCCAAGAGATTGCCTCAAATAAAGGATTTTGGTTCCTGTTTCTCAAGACCGTTCCTATTATCAACCAGTTTTTCCACTCCTATTTTTTCCTCAATTAAACTTATCAGAAACTGTTAGAACACCACTACTGGCAGATGGTGCAGTTGCCATTACTTGCAGCTGAAGTGATTTATGCTTGAGAGGTAGGTGTGCAAGCTTCATGTGACCAGTCTAGCTTACCTCAAAACCCCCAGGGCCTATTCCTATGTACAGAAGGCATTAAAGCAGACATCCACTGCTTGGAGTGGGGCAGGACACAAATTTCTCTTGCGCCCATCAAGTTCTGACAGTCACTGTGGTTTTAAAAAAAAGCTTGTCTGTCTGTGAGAAGCCAGCAGAAGCACACCCTGAGCCTGTATTTCACAATTAAACAAATTCTTTCTTCAGGTGATAGGGTATGTGTGTCTGTTAACAAAGGCATTTGGGTATGTTTAGCCGTCAGGTGTCCTCTCTAGAAATGATACCCAAAAACCTATGCTCTCGGTGACAGACAGCAAGCCTCCCAGGTATGAGTTGTACTACTAAATCAGATAAAGAGATTACACAGATTTCTACTACTTACAGCTTGGTTGACTGCAGACAGGGAAAGCGTTAGAAGCTTTTTACATAAGAAGAGGGGTCACAGACTCAGTGGGACTGGCACAGAGTTGACTGCACACCTCCATGGAAAGGTGACCCTCATGGGATAAATGCATCACTTAATAGAATCAGCTACCATATTACATCAGGATATATTACCTGTCACAAAATAAACACCGGAACTCAGTATAACAAAATTAAATGGGGATTACTGCCTAAAACAGACAACGTCATCAAAGCTTAGACTAAGACTTGTCAGTTAATCTTTTATGTCGTTTTCCCCACACTAGTCTATGAGGTGCTAAGAATGGCATTGTAATTGCCTCTGAAGACACATGTACCTAAACTGCATCTAGACTTCAGACTCTAATGAATAAAAGGAAGTAAGGATTGCTAATTGTGTGACAAGGACAGATGTGCAGTAGTCAAAAATGATCAGTTTTGCACTGTGGCAAGCAGATCTTGGCACCTTCTAAAGGGTCAATGAAAAACTTTCAAGAGTCAGGAAAAGAGCCAGTAGCTCAAACATCTAGTTTTGAGCTATGCAATGCAACTCAAGAAGCAGATATGACCACATGGGCTTGTCTCATGATAAAGTTACGCTAATGCAGAAGCAGATTATTGTAAAGAACACAAAACCAGCCATTTATTCGTAGACAGACAATCTATTTCTGCTGCCATCTTCTCAGCTTAAAAGTTTCTGAACACAAACATCTGCTTGCAGTGTCTAAGTTTTGGATCTCACCTGCCTCCACCTGCTAGATTGGCTGATGAGAAGCACCCTTACAAAGAAAATTTTCAGATTATCCAGAAGTGTAGAGAAAGACCTCCTTGTAGATGGGAGGGAGAAAAAAAAAGTTGCCATCATTACATAATGAAGGTTTCTGAAAATATAGATGCTGCTAGTTTATTTTAAGCATCCAGGCCACCTATGTATTTAATCATATTGACATTCTTAAGAGGAACACAAAAATACCTTGATCTTGGTGTTCAAACCATGATGAGCAAAAACCTTGTAACAACATGTGGAAATTTAAAATGAAGCTGCATGATCATGATTTTCAAAGTGATTCTTGATTATTAGCTACAGGAATTGGAAAGAATCTGAGTTTTAAAATTTGTTGAGAATTGGCTCCAAATGTAAAGTGAAAATCACTTTTTTAAAAAAAAGGCAACTTTAATAACTTGTACCAAACTTGCTCACAGTCAGGGCAACAAATTATCTTTTCTAACTGTAAGCTCTTCTTATAAGGGTAAAAAACCATTGCCAGCTTTTAATGTGTAATTAATTAGAAGCATTATGTCCTTTCTGGACAAGTCACCGTTGGTATACACCAGCTAGGTCACGATGAGCTATCAAGTAAATGTCCAGGTGTATGCTCCATTCCAGTAATGTGAACTGGAGGATGGGAAAAAATCAAATGCAGAGAACAACTTAAACCAAGTATTGGGGCTTAGGGGCTGTTCTCCCAAGGGAAAAAGAATGCATAAAGATTCTCTTCTTTGAATTTAAGAACAGCCTTCAGACCTGAAGGCCTGCCACAGAAATTTCACATTGCGATGTTCATGTTCATACCCAAGAATGAGATCACATAGCTGTAAAACAAACAGGTTTTGGTCATCTCATGTAAAATGAGCTGGACTGAGTCCAATCCCAGGACATATCCACAGCACTAAAGTAACCTCACACAATCTGTTATGATTTAATAGACTCCATATCGACAATAACAGAGCTACCACCACTTTATTCTAGATACATCTTTATTAGTTCATTCTGGCTTACTGAGCAATTTAACACTGCAAAGCTATAACTATTCTGCTTGGTTAATGAGAACTTCACTTTTAAAAGCTGTCAATTTTGTGTCTTCTGATCAATGAATGTACTTTCTATTCCCAAAAGTTCCTGAAGGGAGTGCTATGCTTTAAGAGGTACTGCT